AGCAAATTCACTTTCCTGGAGACATGTGGAGGAAGTTTCATGGGGAGTTTTTATTTAGGGTAATATATGGATATGTATTATAGGTTGAATTGTCTGCCTCTAAAATTCTTATGTTGATATCCTAACCTCCAGTACCTTAGAATGTGACTATATTTGCAGATAGGGTCTTTAAGAAATAAATAAAAATTAATGGAGGTCATTATGGTGGGCCCTGATTCAATGCTATTTATGCCCTTTTATGAAAAAGGGTTTAGGTCACACAACATGATAAGAGGGAAGACCGTTTGAAAACAAACAGAGAAGAGAGCCAGCTATAAGTCAAGGTGAGAAGGCCTCAGAATCCCTGCTGACACCTTGGCCTCTGACTTCTGAAATGAGAGGAAAGAAATTTATGTTGTTTAAGCCATCCAACTCCTGGTACTGTTTTATGGCAAACTATCAGCAAAGTACCAGTCCCAGCAAATTAATACAATATGTTTTCAAACTAAAAGGAAAGTATGGAGGAAACAAGGTGGATAAAGCAGTGTAGAATGGAAGTAATTTTTAGATCAAGGACCAAAAGATGGTAGAGAGATGTATTAAGAGGTATAATAGTGAGGTAGAAATTGTATCATAATAACTATTTAGTAAAGGCACTGATAACCATAGGAACCAACCAAATGCCTAGGCAGATAGGGGCAGGTACCCAGTTAAACCCCATCTCCAAGCAAGCCAAAGACAATTTAAAGCATGAAAGCCAAGCTACAAGTTAAATCCCCAGACTGGATTGAGAAATTGTCTTCCTGTTTCATCTGCCTTCCTCTGATCCCCACCATTTATCTATTTTACATATACATACTCTTTTCTAATTGGTTTTCTACACTGTTTATGGCCACCTTTGAATGGTGTCTTCACTTTAACATTTTTGCATACTCACAAAACAATAAACATGCAATTCCTACTCTCTGCCTATAAAGACCCCAGAACCAGTTGGTAGAGGAGATGGCTTGACTTTGGGCAAGACTTCCCATCCCCTCTCCAGCTCCCCACTCCAGCTGCTCTCTTCACCAAGAGCCATTTTCATTGCTCATTAAAATTCTCTGCTTTCACTATCCTTCAGTCATTCATGTAACCTCATTCTTCTTGGATGCTGGACAAGAGCTCATGACCCATGAAGTCCAAGTACCCAGAAAAGGCTGTTACACTGGCCCTTTGCCCTCAATTATGGAAGGCAGTCACCCCTGTAAGAAGGCAAGGGGCCAGCTGAGTGGCTAACACACTGCTGTCTGTTGGACTGCAGATGGTAGAACCAAATGAGCACTTAACAACCCCTTTGAGGTTGTAGGAACCCTCACCTGGGTGCCACCACATTCCCCTCAAGGTGACATGCCTTGTCTGACCACGGGCCCTGTATGGAGCTTGCTGCTATGTTGGTTTCTGGAGGGGCTGGCCAGGTATTGCATTTGCTCACTCATGTGCTCCTTTCTGCAAGGGGCTGAGTGCAGTGGACCAGGTATATGGGACACCCCTGCCAAGTAGATGGGACACAAGAATGGCCAAGAAAAATTATTCATCATCTGGGGGGGCACGTCCAGGACTCAGAAGGGTGAGCAAATGTGGATCTGACTCTTCACATTTTTCCAAGACTTTTTGTCTTCAGCCTTTCCTCTGAGGGTAGGTGAAACACCAAATCTCTGGGTAGCCAGTTAAGAGCAAACAGCACAGCTAGAGAGTACAGGATGTGATCCTGGAACCTCTCTCTCAGATGGAAGAAATGTTGACTTTGTTTCCCTTCACAGAGGCCTAGCCATCATGTTGACCCAGAATAAGATCCTAGCGAAACTGAAGACATCTGGCCAAGGCTACTCCTCAGGGTTGCCGGAAGGACCCTAAACTGTCTCTGTCCCTGAACTCCCATCACAGCATTGGCCAAGACCCCCAGACTTTTTTTTGTGATATTTTTTATTCCTTCTTTGATGGTTTGAAATAGCTCTAATCTCTTCTTTTATAATTAAGGATGCTGCTGCAAACTGCAGAGATATTACTGGGTAGAATAAGTACTTGGCTTAGCCATTGGATATGCAGTTTGTAGCAATGTGATTTCCATCTGTTGTTAGAGGCAGAAAGGGTATAGTGATTAAGAATATTTCCTCTGTTGAAGAAAGCTATTTGCATAGAGTAAGAGGCTTTTTCCCTCAGGTACCTTCCCTTACTCCTGCACTTAAGCTGTTTTTTTGTTTGTTTTTTTTTTTTTCCTTTTATCCACCTTGTTAGGAGTTCACATCACCCTGCAAATACAGGAAACTCTTCTATGTGAGAAGGTTTTATTTTCCTACCTTAGCACTCTGCTTATGATAGGGAAGCAATTGAGGAGTGATCATCCTGCCTGCTGGCAGCAAATTTGGCTAGTGCCACCTAGGATTTAATTTAAATAAATCCATTCACCACCTGAGACAACTTTTTGTCGCAAACTCAATTGCAAGTTTTGGGTTGAAACCCTAGAAAGGAAAACTGGATCTGAGGGAGCCAAAGGCAGACAACAACAGAAGTAAAGGAGCAAAGTGCAGATGAGCATGATTAAATCCTCCCATTAGCCCCCCCCCAACACAAACATTTCATGAGTAGAAGTTATACTAGTATCCATGGCATAAATGAGGTCTGGGGAACTCAAAATTTAGCATCAGCAGTGGGGACAGGCAGCATGTGGGTGAGTGTCAATAATTTCCACCCTCTAGGCCTCCCTTTTAACATGGGTGAAAGCTGCATTGGCATCTATGGATAGCACCCTCCTGAGGTGGCTTGTTGGAATTCACTTAGGGTAGCTGGCAAAATATTAGCAAAATGTTAGGGAAAGCTATAGATTAGTCTCAAACCTTTTGGAAGGCTAAAAAGTTTTATTGGAACAGGCCAAAGATGTCCAGTCTATTACATTAGCATAGAAAAGAAAGAGAGATGGTAAGAGGCTTCCCCAGTTAAGTCTGTTTACCCCACATCCCTTTGTCTCTACTCTGTTTACTCATGTAAACTTTGTGCTGGATGGTCCTCTCAGGGGAGATCAAAGGGGAATTACCCATTAATAGTGTTTACTCTGGGCCCAGAATCTAAATCTTTTATCTTTCATAAAACCACTCTTTCAACCTTGTTAATTATCCACAAGTGTGTTGACTTAAAGCCTCTCTTATAAAATCTTCACCGAATAAATGTGTAAATGTATAGGAAGTCTTGGTCGATTGGTTGCAGTCACCCCCTGAAAGCAGCCGATGACCATCCCTAGCCCACTAGAATCACTGTATTGGTATGAGAGTGCATTCATTCATAAGTCAAGGTCTGCAGAACAGACCTCTGCAGATGGTGGTTGATGTCTCAGTTGCTGGGACCTGGGGATTTAAGGATGGAAGATGGAAGGAGGAATCCATTTCTTTCCCTCACATACCCAATGTATTTATTGGCATATATCCAATGTATTCATTGGCAAGAGAAAGAAACTGAGAGATGCCTCTTTTACCCTTTCCAAATGGATAGCCAATCATCTTTAGTCAATACCTCTCCTGAATCACTGGGATTCCTTTGCAGGGGGGAAAAAAACACTTTTCTTTTTCCTCATCTGTCCTCTGCATCCCCCAAACTGGGAAAAGTTAATTAATTTCACAAAATTTAAATTGCTTGGCTTAAAATTGAGCTTGGGGGAAGGGAATGCAGAGGCATGACATACCAGCAAAACAGTAAAAGTTTTTTACCAGTTGAACTTCTGGCCTCTCTCTCCCTGTGCAAACCGATAAAAATAAATGGTAAGGATCACTGTAAAGTTCTGAAACAACTGGATGAAGTCTCCTTGTTGTAGGTCCTTAGGAGCCTGACCTTGTAACCATGTGACAGTACTTTCTTTTGGTCTGTGCCATTTTACAGTAGTGTCCCGGGCTCAATTCTGGCTAAAGAATGAGTAGTTTCTGGTTAATATCTGTTTGGCTTTTACCGTTTGCTGATTTTCTTCCCCTATGTGAACTTCTGATTTTCCTTCTTAAAACTTCCTTTCTCTAAGCTACCTATAAAGGTTCTTGAATTTGTAAAAACTGCTTACCACTTCTTTGAAAATACATTGTACACTCGTGACTAACTCATAACCTTAGTTGAGGCTTGCTGGTTTCACCTGTGAGATTGCATTTGGTAAAGTTCAAAAGCCAGAAATATTGGCTGCTTGGCATGGTTAAAATCAGGTAACAGGGAATTTAAAATAATTTTCTTAAAGAGCACTGTAGTTAAATGTCACCTTAAGTAAAAGTGAATATCAAAGCCATAGGTATTTAACATATTTAAAATACCTTTATGTTTTTCTCTTCATGGACCTTGTTTTTTTAGAAAAAGGGTTTTTTCTAGATGAAAGTTTTCTTTTCTAGATAAAACCTGTATAGATCAAAGTTTTTTTTTTTTCTAATAATCCAACTGAATTGTTTTTCTCCATTTTCTCTTTCCACTCTCAGTGCACACTTGAGAGGCCCTAAGACAACTTCTGAGAGAATAGGACTCCTTCAGAAAAACAGAGAAGGTGCCATGAACCCCATTTTGGAGAAAATACAAACTCTCTGCTTACCTCATGGAACCCAGTAATTAAAAGCAGATACATCCCTCTCAAAATCCTTTTTTGTCTTCCAGCTATGCCCATTTATTAAGCCCTAGAAACTGCATGTTTTCCTAGCCCTGCTTCTTTAAGGGCTCTACCTTGTGGACAATAACCCAATTAGAAGATTGGCAAATAAAAAAATCTTTCAACTACTGGATCTTCTTCTGTCTGTCTTTGTAATCATATAGGTGTTATGTGTGTGATGTGTATATAGAAAAGAGCTATAATTAATGGGTTTAGAGTAAAATAAGCACTTAGATCAAGTATTTTTTGAAGGAGAAATAAAAGCTGTAATGCCTTTTAGTTCACATGACTTTAATCCTTGAGAAATAAAAACATTTCTAAAGATTATTGATAAAACATGAATATTTTCAAAATGTAAATAAGTGATATAAATGATACTAGATTTGCTAAATATTTTAAGGTTGTAAACTGCTTCTTTAGTTATTAAGAACTGCTCAATTTACCTGTGTCAAAATTTGGTAAGGCCCGGGGACATATGGAATTAACCACATCCCTACCTATGTTGGAAAGAGTCAGACTTTGTCTGTACTTAGTATATAGTTAAAATAACTTGTCAGATTTTACATTAAAATTAAAAATTTCTAAGAGTTACCATTATAACATGTAGTTTAGACGACTGAAAATAGATTTACAGGCAAGGTGTATAAGAAAAGTAAAATGTATTTTTAATTAACATTATCATAAGACATGGGAATGTAAATTTTTGCATAGTTTAGAGGGTTAAAGGATTGTTTTAAATTAGATAAGATAAAGCTAAATGTTTAAACAAGTTGAGAACACTTTGCAAAAATTAATCTTATAAAAGAAATTCTGTGTGTGAACATATTCACAAAAATTTGTAAAGGATTATAAAAGGTTTAAAGACTCTCACCTCATGATCAAATTGATTAAGATTGGATAAAATTATCTATAAACTTTCATTAGAAAATGGGGTTGACATTAATAGTAGACTAATGCAAGAGTGAAATCTGGCCTTCTCTCACTTGAACAGGATTTTCATGTAATATAAAAGACAGATTGCGTGGAAAATTAAGTTTTTCCTCCTAATAAACAAAAGTTTTGCTTCGTTTTAAAATTTTTGAGTCAACATTTTGGCTAAAACAAATGACTTATGGTAACCAGGAATTCTACTTCATAGTATCAAGTGTTTTAAACTTTCAACCTGTTGGGTAGGCTTCCAAAAATAAAAAATGAGCTTCAAAAATTGTTTTCTCTGACCCCTAACTTTTGAATTCTACAGAGGGCCCTTGGAGTATCCAAAAGAAAGGTAAGCAGGATTATTTGATATGTTTAGTTACATGGGATTGCCAAAATAAAAATAAATTTTAATCTTCTTCAAGTTATATTATAGAGAATAATATTAATATATGTATCAAAATTGTATGAGATTTCTAAAATTCTAATGTCTTACTACATGGTATCAATCATAATTTAGGTTGTTGTGTTAAGTTATTGTAAATGACAGAAATAACCAGATTTCTTTGTCAATCATGTTTTTTATTGTTATCACCCATAGACATGATGTCATTAATAATTGTTGTCTTATTGCATTCCTTTTCAAAATATAGTTTATAATCAGCTATGGGAGTTTGACAGGTGCTCTCAAATGTATACTTCTGATAACTTGGAGATTATGACAATGGAATAGAGGAAAAACATACAGGATGCATGAAGAGCTAATATGTTCTTGAATATTATCCAGAACAAGAATTAATGGAATGGACTGAACTAATATAAACCTGAAATAATTTTTTTAAATTTTTCTTAAAATGTTGCTGATTCTTGTTTTGTTTTTCAGAGTCACGGACATTTTCTTTTGAACTATCTACAGTTTTTAACAATTAAGTTATACTCCTGTGAACAAAATTTGGAGCATATTTGTTTCTCCCTTCCTGGCTTCTCCAGAATTTGGGAAACTATTTGTGAGTATTCTTAACTTACAGCAATATAATTATTTGTATCAGTGCAATAAAAATCTATTTTCTTTTGCAACAGGACACATTTGGAGAAACTGGTAGTTTTACCAATGCTCTGACTGGAAGAGTGTGCTTTCCTTTAAGGAATCAATCTTGACTTGCAGAGTCAATAAAAGCCCCTTGGGAAAGCTGGACTCATACCTTGTCTACCCAGTTGCAGTACAGGGTTTCTAACCTGTGGTGAGTAAAGAATGTCACTTCCTAACAGGCCAGGAGCCCCATGTTATCTTAGAACCTCAAGCATACAGGAATTTACTCAACTCATATGTATTTAAGGGTACAAACCCTTGGCTGGGCTTAGCTTTAGAAAGTTCTATATGAGATTTTTTTGTGGAAGAGTTCCATCAAAGCTAATGTATAAAGCCTATGTGAAAGAGAGTTATCTTGCCACACTTTATGCAAATAATCAGGCCAAGTATAAGACTAAAGTTTATTTTGCAAACAACACAGTCCTATCATGATTTGTTTTTAACAAAAATGAGAATTGGAGAGAGAAAAATTATGTTTCAAAACTTATTACACACTTGTCATTAAATTCTAGCCTCATTAGTTGTTTTTAAGTTTTTGCCTACATTTTACATTAACCCTGTTTATACCTGTGAACCAGCCAGTGATCTCCAGCTGCAACTCAGGAGAAACAAAAGGGATGGGTAACATAAAAATCTAGATCAATATTCTAGTTGTGGCAAATCCTGCCAGGTAATAGGAGTAAATAGGTTGCCCATCACCCAGAGGTTTCTTTGTTCGGGAAAATAAGATGAAGAGATCTAACCAAAGCCAAGCCCCATGCACCCAAATTTTGGCAGGCATAATTATAGCTACCAGTTATCTGAGTGTGCTAGCAGTCTTGGGATTTTTGAGCTATGCCTACCCCTGCCTTGTTTTGTTTTGATACGTAACTTCTAATAACCCAGTTGGCCTCTTCTGGCCTTCAGGCAATCATATTCCAAATGGTCATGAAACCAGAGGCTCAAACAATGGTTCCCTTTTACCAGGGACCCTTAGATGGGCCTCTGAGGGAAATCTGACTGCTGTATTCCCCAGTGACCCCTGTTGACAGGAAGCCATTAGGATTGGTCTTTGTCCCTATTCTATTGGAAGTTAGATGTACTTCTTCAGAGGGAGAAGTGATAAAGGCAGGAGGCAGACAAATGCCCTGGCAGATAGGAATAGGTACCTGGTGATACCCCACCTCCAAGCCAAAACAGTTTAAAGCCTGAAAGTCAACCTACAAGTTAAATCCTCAGACAGGATTAGGAAACTGTCTTCCCATTTGGCACACTTTCCCCTGATTGATCCCCACCCATCACCTATTTTACATATACTTACACTTTCCTAATTGGTTTTCTACACTGTTGTGTCCAGCTTTGAGTGTTCTCTTCACTTTAAACTTTTTTTCATACTCACAAACCAATCAGCATGTATTTCCCATCCTGTACCTTTAAAGATCCAAGACTCAGTCAGGAGAGGAGGAGACAGCCTTACTTTGGGGTGATGACCAGCTCTTCCCATCTCCTCTCCAGTTCCCCTCTCCACTAAGAGCTGTTTTCATCATTCAGTAAATTTATCTGCCTTCACCCATATGGCTTAACCATCCACATGACCTCATTCTTCTTGGACACAGGACAAGAGCTTGGAACTCCCTGAGTGTGGGTACCCAGAAAGGGCTAACACACTGGCCCTTTGCCCTCACCAGTTCAAAAGCTGTGGAGGGCAACTGCCCCACGGGATGAGGCAAGGGGCAAACTGAGCTGATAACACACTGCTGTCTGTTGAACTGTGGACAGTGAAAGTAAATGAGCACTGTAACAACCCCTCAAATCTCCTTGGGATCATAGGCACCCTCACCTAGGTGCCACCACATTCCCCTTAAGGCAGCATGCTTAGTCTGACTTATGGCCCTGCACAGAGCTTACTTCTTTGTTGGCCAGATCCCACACCTGCTCACTCGTGTACTCTTTCCCACAAGGGGCTGAGTGCAGTAAACCAAGTGAATGGAGCACCCTTGCCACTAGTCCAGTGAAGGAGCTGAGAAAAGGCCTGCATCAGTACTTAATAGCCATATCGGTACACAGATTAAACTTCAGTTTCTACCTAGGATCTTGAATTTCTCAGGTAAATTTAAACACTCTGCAAATTACATAGTTATTAGGGACTTTGAACTTTGTATTCTTCATCACCCACAGGAGCATTTGTTTTATCCTGGATGACATACTGGTTACTTACTCAGGTATCTAACTCAAATCCGTTGTTATTACATACTTAGCTTTGAGTAAGAAATGCCCAAAAATTTAGTGAATTAATATTTTAAACAGTTATGTGTATTTATATTTGCAGGAGAAAATAAAAACCAAAATAGAACAACAGAAATGAGACATACTAAAGAAATCAGAAAGACAAAAAGTACGTGATTTAAATAAATTTGATGAGGTTTAGTGATTCAGAAACAACAGCAAACAACAAGCAGATACCTAAGGATTTAGCAGAATTCAGAAAAGGGCCAGAAAATAATAGTGTAATGATCAAATATGAAAATTTTAAAAATAATAATATGATATGTTTGTGCTTATTTAAAAGAGGGTCAAAGGAAAATCCAACAGTTTGAATAATTGAGTCAGTATGAACCATGTCATTGGGCATGTATAAAACCTTCATTCTAACCAAAGGGGTAAATCCCACCTGGATCAACTGTGTGAGATATGTACTGTAAACAGTTGCGTACACATATACAGGTTAATAAAATCTCTGGTCTTGAATCCTATCATTATATTCCTTTTTATTATATGCATTATTCAGGAATATTTGGTTATGATTTGAGAGCTCCTATAATTACTATCTTATTACAGATATTAAATGTAAAACGAATTTTTTTCTACTTTTATTTACATTCTACATTGCTGATTTGTCTTTACTAATCTATTAACTAGATAGATTGGCCATTGGTTTCTGAACAATTACTTCTGAAGAAAAAAGAAACCCTCATTCTTTACAGAAATGTTAGAAAATATTTTCTGTTTTTGTTAATTGATATCAATCTGCCTCAGTCAGGGATTCCAAGTTCAAAGTTCACTAACTTCTTTTGTTGTTCTTACAGATTTTTGACTTCTCTGTCTTTTGTGGGTAATAATATTTAGATTTCAGAATGCAAAAGAGGGTATTGTAATTCTCTGCAGGCAGTGAATCTCTAGCCATTGATCTGTGTGTCATTTCACCAGACTCTCAGGCACAGCAATATTATAGTCTGGCAGCAGATCATGAAGACCTGAAACAACCACCCATTCTGATTAATAAATATTTTAAATCTGTTTATTTTTTATTAGAGATAGCCAGTAGTTGAACATATATATTACCTTGTGAAGATCAACAAAAATATTTAGTTGTTTCCAGTAGCACTTGCAGTTGTAGATTCATATATAGAATATTGAATTAATGGAAAAAAACAGAGCACCTGAGTATAAACAGTGAAAAATGGTGCAAAATGAAGAAAGCAGGGGTGTGGGTGCATAAAACAGACACTTGAGAAATTTTTCAAGCATGATTCTTTGTCTTCTTGAACTCTGATTTAAAGGTTGCTAAGCAACAGTGGCAGTAACAGCTGGGACACCCTTGATCTTGTTGTGTAAACTATTAAAAATAGGTGATGGAAAGTGGCACCATGGAAACAATGACTCTACTGAAGCAGGTGTCTGTAATGCAGCTTTTCAGTCTAATGTTAGAGGTGTAAATTACAAAAAGAAAAAATAAAATAACTATATCTTCCATTATCCTAATCTTTGACTTTGATAAGGGATATTTTTTCTCTTTTGCATTTTCTTGCAATTTCCCAAGCATGCTGGCTCAAAAAAAAGTGTTGATAATTTTAAGTAATTACTGATATTGTGTTTTGATTTCTTAATTTCAAAAATGATTTTTTATTATTTCAAACTCAATCTAAATTCTATATATCCAGTTAAACATGGATCAATATAAAATGCTGTATAATAGTAATTGTGCATGAATCTCTTCAGGTTTCTAATTTACTAACATTAACTTTCAGAGGCTGATCATCTTATAATTATTTATTTTAGATTAATAGGAATCATCTTGGAAACGCTCCCTGAATCTTGTTTTATAATTAAATGCTTTTAACAATAATAATATAAATATATACACCTAGTCTATACATTTAAAGGACTCATTCTATTATATTTATGAAATCAACAGTAAACAACTCAGTTCTTATTTTCAGATAGTTTATTGGATACCAGCACTATAGAACCAGTGTAAACTTCAGTACTTACAGAAGTAGAAAGGACCCATTTCCACCAATGTCACCTAAATCAAGCTTTTTTTGCCAGTCAAGTGAATTTGTTTTATTAGACATTCAGTTGAAGCACCATAAAAGAAGAATAAATAGGAAGATATTTTGTATTTATAGCATTTAAATAAAATACATAACTAGAAGAGTCTATAAAACCATTTCTACTTTCATTTTATACATGAGAAACTGAAAACCATGAAAACCTTAACTAAGGTAGAGACTACAATTTGTAATGTAACATATCTAATCCACTTCCTATTCCAGAGCTCTATCCACTGCATAATGATGCCAAATTTAGCCTATTCTAATAAAGATTTTAGAACTTTGGAAAGATTTGATTATTATTGGATGATAATTGATAAGAAGTTTCATGGGAATTTCTGCTCATTTTAGTTTTCTAAACTCATGCATTAAACTTTGTTTTCATAAAACACATAAAAATAATTATAAGACATATAAACTTAAAATATTAAGAATATCATGTTCTTGTTCAAACACAAGATATTCCATTGGCCCTAACTGGCATTAAAACATAAATCAGTGAGTCATGCTGAGTGCCTCGTCTTCTGAATTCCAAGTTTGGAAAGAGGCAGATATGGCTGAATGCCAGATTCTGAAGAGCAATGACAAAAATAAAGCCAGGCTGCGTGTTTGATATCAAAGAATATGGTGGGGCTCATTTCACAAGAAAAAAGGCAGAAACCATTGCCTTTTACTATGGCTTTCATTATCCACAGAGTAAATTTACTTAAAAAAAAGTACAAAAATAATGAGTTAAAGTTAAAAGATGAAATATTAATAAATAAAATTTAATTGTTTCCATATAACACAATTTAAATCTAAAATTTTAAATAGAAGTCATATACTTCTCAAAATAAAGCACAATCATTATGGAAATGAATATACCAAAACATTTTAACCCTATAGTAAGAAAATGATTAAACATTACTAAAGATCAATTAAAGAAGTCATAATACATGGATAAAAATTATGATTTTTATATAGAATAGACAATATTTAAAAGACAGCAATTTTCCCCCAAACTTAGCTGTAAGTTAAATGGAATTTAAGTCAACCTCTCAATAGGCTTTCTTATGAAACTTGACAAGCTGATGTTACTAAATCATGTGGAAAAGTAAATGATCACTAACTGCCAAGATAATTTTGGGAAAGGGTGTTGATATGGTTTGGCCATGTCCCCACCAAAATCTCATCTTGCATTGTAATTTCCACATTTCCCACATGTCATGAGAGGAACCTGGCGGGAGAGGATTGAATTATGGGGTGAGTCTTTCCTTCACTTCTTGTGATGATGGTGACTGAGTCTCCCAAGATCTGATGGTTTTAAAAATGGGAGTTTCCTTGCATAAGCTCTTTCTCTTGCCATCACCATGTAAGAAGTGCTTTTCACCTTCTACCATAATTATGAGGCCTCCCTAGCCATGAAAGAGCTGTAAGTCCATTAAACCTCTTTCTTCCAAAATTCCCCAGTCGTGGGTATATCTTGTTCAGCAGTGTGAAAATGGACTAATACAGGTGTGGTATGCGTAATAGTCTTACCCTACCCAAGATCAAGGGAACTCTGGTTGGGCCCTTTATCTTAAGAAATGCATTATGAAAAAGTTATTTACTTTGATACATTTCTCAAATTAATGAATTTGAAAAATATTCACTAACCCTGTAGTTATATTTTAAAACTCTCCATTGAAGTTGTCCGGGGAGGAAAATTTAACTATTAAGATGCCAGACTGGGTTGGCAGAAATTAAGAGTTACCTATTCTACTGTTGTTTATCCCTATAACATTATAAGCAAAATTTTCATAACCTTTATTATCCTAGGATTAATTTTATTTCGGAAGGGATGTATTGTTATTATATTTGTTTTGCTTCAAAATAATTTCATTGTTTTGAAGAAAATAATTTCATTATTTTGAAGAAAAACAGAAATATAGTAACAATACATCCCTTCTGAATTGTTTTGGAGAATTTTTGAGTAATACTTTGCCATAATTGTTGAGGTACTTCAGAGGAGATGCTTTTGTCCTGTGTTACTGTTTTCAGATTTACCAATCCTACTTGTTTAGTTAGTGTTAAAGGCTATTGGCAAATGCTGCCCCTGTACTTCTAACCTATGCAGAATTCCTATTGCTTAAGTCACCTAAGGACATCAGACTCAAATTCTTGCTTATTAACCCTCCATAAATCCATTATCTATTTAATGTTTTTAAATATATTGATGGGGTTTTATTGCTGAACTAATTATTTACTTCATCCAAGCTAAAGTTCTTTCTCTTTTAAAAGAGTAATCTCAATAGGATCACGTTCCAATATGCAAAACATAATACTGAAGTAGCAAGTAAAGGAAAGCAATTGTGTCTTTCCATATTATAACCCATTAAAAAAATCAGTAGCTCCTGTAATTCTTCACATATTCAATTTGAACTTTTTCTTAGGCTATAAATATTGCCAAACTCCCAATTTGGGGAGTCAATTGAGAGCCAGATTGGCTTGCTTCAAATCCTAGATCCACCTCTTATTAGCTATGTGAAGTTGGGCAAATTTTTATTATTCAATTTTCTCATCAGTAACAGAAATAATAATAATAACAACATCTTCATATGGTTCTCATGTAGGTGAAATGAGTTAGTATAGGTGAGCCTTACGGAAGAGTATGTGACACAAACCAACACCATATGAGTCAGCTATGACCATGCTGGCTGATGTTGTGCTGATGTTCAACCTCAAGTTCCAGGTGTTCCTTCAAAAGTACTTGAGATTTTTTTAGGATAAACATATAAGGCCTAATAAAACAATATCATAACCTCCCAGTGATTCACTCTAAATGTTTATTGAAAGGGGAGCTAATCAAGATAGAAAATACATGAATTGTTTCTAATTACACCAAAGAAACTATTTTAAGTTTAGCTTTTTACTTTTTAAATTTGCCAAAAAATCAATTGTTAATTTATATATTTTTGCTAAAAAATTTGTAAATTCAGGTCAGCAAGAAATATATACCCATGTATAAGTCTACAAATATGTATCCACCACTCATCTGCTATTTACAGAAAGACAATTGGTAAATACAAAAAATATTTTATCTATATATGTGTAAAGATGATATAGCAAAAAAAATAACCCATGTCTTTGTCTCATTTTAAAAAGAATTTTTATCTGGAAAAGTTTTAGATTTATCAAAAACTCGCAAAGACAGCGTTCCCATGTTCTATTCACCCAGTTTCTCTAATGTTAACTTTTAAAAATAATACTGATACATTTGTTGAAATTTAAAAGTAATGCTCTGAGTTAGGAGGTGGAACTTGATGCTAGAGGCCAGGCTTGGACACTGGGCCAAATTGAGAGCTAGCTAAAACAGGGCTGGTTGAGGCAGGTTTCCATCAGATATGTCCACCAGTGTGCCACGTCAGTTGCCATGGCAACACCTGGGAATTACCACCCCTTTTCATGGCAATGACCAATGATCCAAAAGTTACTACCTTGTCCCTAGAAACTTCTACATAAACTACCCTGTAATCTGCATGTCATTAAAATAGGTATAAATGTGACTGCAAAACAGCCCTGAGCTGCTACTCTTTGCTGATGGGGTATCCCTGCTCTACAGTAGCAATCATAGAGCTATACCACTGCTTCTTCAAAAAAGTTGTTTAATTCTACCCATGGCTTGCCCTTGAATTCTTTCCTGGGCAAAGCCAAGAACCCTCTCATGGGATAAGCTCCACTTTAGGGCTTTCCTGCCCTGCATCAATTGGCACATTACTATTAACAACAGCAACAAAAAAGGTTTTATTTATATTTTACCAGTTTTTAAAAATTCTTTCACTGGTCCAACATATAATACAGGATATTACATTATATTTAGTCATTTCTCCTCAACCTCCTTTGGTCTTTGACAGTTTCTTACTTAACTATTATTTTTTTCATTACTTTGAAATTTTAAAGAATGTCTGTCTGGTATTCTGTAAAAGGTTCCAGTTATAAAAGATTTGTATCTGAACTATGGTATCATCAATGCTTTTTTTCTTTCCTGTCCCTTTTTATCATTTTTCTTGAATTTTAATAATGAACCATAATTAGATCTATTACTTTTCCTATCATAATGTTGGCCAGACATGTTATACCACACATCACAACTTCTTAGCTCATCCTTGTGCCCTGAATGTTCCTGTGGCCTCCAGCTGCACACAGGGACAGATTCACAAAGCCTATGTTTTTCTTACTTTCGTCCTTGGGGCTCCTGTGCTTTTGTGCCCTGGATGCCTGTCAAGCTTGCTCAGCTGTGCTGACACATGTACAAACTCTTACACACCCTTAAAGAACAAGAGATGGGATCTGATAGCTTTACAATCCTCACCTTCCATTTTTCAGACAGAAAATTCTCTGTTGCGTTTGTGAGATAGATTCTGTCCCATCCCATCCCATCCCATCTCATCCCACCCCATCCCACTGTCAAGTGGATTCTACACTGTCTTTAGAGGGATCAAGACTCAGTGGCTCAGAGCAGAAATGAGTGTTAAAAAATACTCTTAGGTAGGGCCAGTCATGGTGACTAATGCCTGTAATCCCAGTAATTTGGGAAACTGACAAAGGAGTATTGCTTGAAGCCAGAAGTTTGAGACTAGCCTGAGCAACATAGCAAGATCTCATCTCTATGAAAAACTTCTTTTTAATTTACTTTAAGTTCTGGGGTACATGTGCAGATTGTGCAGGATGTTTAACATAGGTATACACATGCCATGGTGGTTTGCTGCATCCATCTCCCCCATCATCTACATTAGGTATTCCTCCTAATGCTATCCCTCCCCAATCCACCCACCCCCTGCTCTTTCTTTCCTAGCCCCCCCAAAAATAGGCCCTGGTGTGTGATGTTCCCCTCCCTGTGTCCATGTGTTCTCATTGTCCAACTCCCACTTATGAGTGAGAACATGTGGTGTTTGGTTTTCTGTCTTTGTGTCAGTTTGCTGAGAATGATGGTTTCCAGCTTAATTCATGTCCCTGCAAAGGACATGAACTCATCTTTTTTTATAGCTGCATAGTATTCCATGGTGTATATGTGCCATATTTTCTTTATCCAGTCTATCATTGATGGGCATTTGGGTTGGTTCCAAGTCTTTGCTATTGTAAACAGTGACGCAATGAACATACGTGTGCTTGTATCTTTATAGTAGAAAGATTTATAATCGTTTGGGTGTATATCCCATGATGGGATTGTTTGGTCAAATGGTATTTCTAATTTTTGATTCTTGAGGAATCACCACACTGTCTTCCACAATGGCTGAACTAATTTACACTCCCACCAACAGTGTAGAAGCATTCCTGTTTCTCCACATCCTTTCCAGCATCTGCTGTCTCCAAATTTTTTTCATGATCACCATTCTAACTAGCGTGAGATGATATCTCAACATGGTTTTGATTTGCATTTCTGTAATGACCAGTGATGATGAGTTTTTTTTCATGTTTGTCAGCTGCATAACTGTCTTCTTTTGAAAAGTGTTTGTTCATATCCTTTGACCACTTTTTGATGTGCTTGTTTGTTTTTTCTTGTTTAAGTTCTTTGTAGATTCTGGATATTAGCCCTTTGTTGGATGGGTAGGTTGCAAATTTTTTTCCCATTCTATTGTTTGCTGGTTTACTCTAATTAAAGTTTCTTTTGTTGTGCAGAAGCTCTTACATTTAATTAGATCCCATTTGTCTATTTTGGCTTTTGTTGCCATTGCTTTTGATGTTTTAATCTTGAAACCCTTTCCTATGCCTA